TGTGTAACATTTTTTTTATATTGACGCTCAATTGTTTTAAAGTAGGGGGTGCTATCTTTCCAGACTTTACGGTATTCATGAATATTCATAAACAGGGGGTTATTCATATTTATTCGAATATTCATGAATATTTTTCCATGTGATTAAGATCACTACTCATCTCATTAAATATTTTATTCTTTTATTGCCTCTAAATAAAATGTCTCCAAAAAGAGTAACTTTATCTAATTCTCAAAAATATGAATTTTGTTTATTCTAGTCAACAAATAAAATTGGTTAATTCTCTTGATATATATTAGTTTGAAAACAATAAATACAATAGAATCTTATCTTAAAATTTTTTTTAGTGATATAATTAATTAATAAATTTTTATTCCTTATTGGAGTCATGTGCAACCAATGCAATGCTTTGTTTCTCTAAGTGCACACCCCCTCTAAGTGCGTGCACTTAGAGGGGGTTGACTGTATATAGTTTTACATGAATTTTGCAGTTGTCTCACGGAGCACAAGACCCACTGTGTAATAATAATAACAATAACAATAATTAATAATTAATAATAATATAATAATGGGTATGAAATTTTTTTTTTTTTGAAGGAAGCATTGTCTCCTTTCCTTGAAAGGCTTTTTTTTATTCACCTTCCTTGGAAAGCCATTCTTTTTTGCTTCCTTCTGATGCCCTTTCCAAGGAAAACCATTTTTTTTGCTCCCCTTTTGAGGAAGACATTGCTTTTCACACCACCACCACCACTTTAACTTTTTTTGTTCATCTGCCTTGGAAGGCCATTATTTTTTGCTCCCCTTCTTTAATGCATAATCATTATAATTACACCACCACCACCACCACCACTAGTAAGTTCTAATTTATTTTTTATATTTCTACATTAAAAAGCATGCAATAACAGGCATGTTGTACAACTGGAAATGAAAATTATTGTTTATATTTTTCTGAATGCAACCATAGTGACCTGACAATTGTCTCCACCTGCAACTTACATCAATGGGCAAATAGAGTAACAAATAATGGAATAGCACACATTAGGAGATGGCCAGCAAATCATAGGTAAATATAATAACAAATTATACTTTGCATTACAAATTATTATTATGCTTTGTGTTATGAATTATTATCATGCCTTGTGTCACAAATTATGCTTTGTGTCATGAATTATTTTATTATTATGAATTAATTAACTATCTGTGATTTGAATGCTTAAGTTAAAACCATTACTAATTGATAAATCCTTATAAAATTTAGGATGGGGGCATTTCCATTTCAAAAGCCCTAGTCATGCAGAAAGATTCCTTGACATAATAGGAACAGCTCCACAAGTAGGTCTGATGGAGCAATATATAAAGTTTGATGTGGCAAACCCAAGACCACAACAACCACAAACATAATCACGATACCTACAACTTCCAGAACTGTTACAACAACAATCACAATTACAACCACCACAACCACAACCACAATCACAATCACAATCACAACAATCACAACAATTACAACCTTCTTCTTCTTCACAACATCAACAGCATAATAATAATGATGATGATGACAATAATAATAATAATAATAATAATGATAATAATGATGACAACAACAACAATAATAATAATGATAATAATAATAATGATGATGACAATAATAATAATAATAATAATAGAAAAGGTAACAAAGAAACAACAATATCAACAACAACAACAACATCATCAACAACATCATCAACAACAAAGTCATCAACTTATATAATACCTACCAGAGTTAAATGCACCTTGTAATTATTATTTACCAATGATTTTTATTTTTGTGTCTAACATTACCTTACCTCTTATATATTTATAAAGAACCTAAGTATTAATATATAACATTATTAATACCAACAGTAACACAGAAGAAGGAGATTGAGATGGAGTATAATCCTGCCACAAGTGAGCTCGAGTTGATGGCAAATATCAAGGGGATGATGGGGCAGATGGTGGTAAAATTATCTTTGATAATTTACCAGTTGGGAGAGCATATGTAAAAGTAAATTTAGAGAGGTAAGATTTTAAATTTAAATATAATTTATATTTATTTAAATAACAATATAATTTATGATTATTTTATTTACATATTTAAAAAGGGATTTTGAAGATGAAAATGTTGGGTTTGAACTTAAGGTAGGTGGTGGGATTCAAATTATCAAATTAAATAAGCAGTGATAAAAAAATAAAATATACATTTAATAAATAATTACTGAAATATACTATCCAGTGAATTTTTTCCCTTCTATATAATATATATATATACATCATTATTTGTAATCTACAACTTACAATTTGATACTAGCCAACCTTTGATTAATTAGATTCATCTAAAAAAACAAATCTTCCTGCCCAATGGTTTTTTTTTTAAATATAAAGAATTGTGGAGTTTTAATAATAATAGCATTTTTAAAGTAAAAAACTTTATTGTTCAATGATTTCGGGATTAATGGATGTCATGATAATCATCAATAAGGAATATAATTAATGAATTAATTTTTGTATTAAGATATTTAAAAACCCCAT